GTGTGTCTGTGAGGGTGAGTGAGTGTGTGTGTGTGTGTGTGTGAGTGTGTCTGTGAGGGTGAGTGAGTGTGTGTGTGTGTGTGTGTGTGAAGACGAAGCCAGCCGTACAGACTTCCTTGGCTTATATAATATGTAATAGGTGCAGATAAGATGCTTTGGCAACTATTGTGGACAATGTGCTTGATCGCAACAATTAAGCTTGCATACAAACAAGCATTACTCACCGGGAGAATTTACCAACAGCCGCTGTTACCTCCCGTTTCCTCTCATGGATTCCATCTGCCGGGAGAAGAGCTTACGGTTTTCCAGCAGTGTGTTCGCCCGCTGTCTGAGGACCAATGGATCACTTTTCAGTCTCATGAAAAAATCTACAGAGATCGCCTGAACACCAAACGCCAGCGCGGGAAGAACTTTGTTTCCTCTTGTGATCCAGGAAAGTGGATAACGCTAGCTGCACTGCTAAACGGGATATTCTTCAAGAACGGAGTTTTTACAGCGGAAAGCCACAATGGTAAGCCTTTTGGATTACAACTCCTGAAATATGTGGCAAGAGTTCTGAGGAAGTTCCCGGCGATACAATCATATCCTGAGAATCTAACACCGACTCTAATAGCTGACTGGATCCGCGAACAGCTGCGCTACCTGCGGGAAACCGTTCTGCCCTCTCTGCGCACACGAGCGACTTACGGCCAGCGGAACAAAAAGGTGAGCAGGAACAAACTGTGGCAGCATAGAAGATCTAAAGCGATCCAAGTCATCTTAAACAACAGCGAATATCCCGATCCTCCTCCCTGTCCTAGTGACATCGCAGCTATACAAACTTATTACGATAATAAATGCCTAAATCAGAGGCGTAATGAGGATCGTTCTTTCCCACCCTGGTATCTGAACGTGCTGCCGCTGAAGCCAACTATTTTCCCTGAAACATCGCATTTCACATATAAGGAGGTAGAGACCATGTTAAATAATCTCCCTAATAACAAAGCAAGTGGTAATGATGGCGTGACATATGAGACTTTTAAAACCATGCAGTCATGTCAG